GGCGCAACTAGGACTTTTGCTAGGGGGGGGCAATATATTATTTTGTTAGGGTTTGTGGGGGTTAAGTGGGGGTATCCCCCCTTTTTCGAAAATTTTTCAAAAACAAAAGTGGTTTTTTAAGGGTTTGAAGTCGAAAAAAAGGAAATTTTAATTTTTTGCATGCAGATTTGGCTGTGTTCAATTCAAATCGATTTTTTTGTTCTTGTGTTTTTACAAAATTTATACTTCCAACAGCTGTAAAATGAATGATATGAGTCAATTCATTGAATATGTGTGCGAATCGCAAAAGAGTATTGTTTAAGTACCTGGTTTAATTACAGATTAAATTGCAAGAAATAATCATTTATAGTTTCTGGAAAAAAAAACATAAAAATACATAGGTAAATAATAATTTCAATCATCTACATTGAAAAAGGACAGATAATGTTACCATTTCTCTTGAAGTTATTGAATTAATGATTGATCTAACCAACATTCATAATATAAATTCATTTTCGATTTTATAGAACTTCTGTCAAAGAAGATAAATGTTGTTAGTTATCAAATATGATAATCAATTAGAAATTTGCCAGGTTCAGAATTTTCTCTAGATTTGGAACTGATTTTTTGCCACAAACTCAAATATTCTAATCCCTAAATCTTTGCACCGAGTGGTGTAAACATTTGATATTTCAAACTTGGAATATTTTACCATAAGAATTCAAAGTTTGATATCTACGAGTACTCTTTAAACTCAACACAAATAAAATACAGTTCAGAACTTTTTTTTACATTTAATGTTTACAATGGCCTTTAGCCTTGAGAATTGAGAAAGATAAAAATATTCTTTTTAAAACTAACTATAGTATAATAAAATAGTATAATAACTCTATTGGTTTTCTTATTCCTGTGATACTGATTTTCGCCATTCTTTCTTTCTTTTCATTCTGCAGGGGGGGGGGCGCCCCCCCTCTCAGGTGATAGGGGAGGGAGCGCGCACCGCCCGCCCCCCCTAGTTGCGCCTCTGGGTTTCTCCATTTCAACCCAATCAAGGGAAATGAGTTTTTACCACAAACTTAGGTTTTCTAATCCCTATATCTCTCCAACCTGATGGTTTGAACTATTGATATTTCAATATACTCAGTTGATCTAACAGAATTCATAATTTGAAATATCTAAGGTCTGCACCATTTGGTAGCAGCTAAACTGTACAAAAAGTTTGGTATTGTAATTTTAAAAATAATTGTATAACTTCCAGAATTTGTCAAACATTTTAAAATATCTCAAAAGTTTAAATTTAAATTTACTGTTAAATTCAAGATTTGAATTCAATTTTGTAATTGAATTTTCCTAGATCGAACTCTATGGATTCTAATGATGATTGGAGGATTATCTGTATCTATATTATTATCCTATCAAACCTATATTGCATGGATTGAAGATCCCATCTTAACTACAGGTAAACGGACATTAGAAATGTGGCTCGGAAGGAAAATTACTATGGGCTGGACGCATTAATAAGGTGGTTCAGACAGATGATAATGTGTGTTGGACAACTTTTAGTGTTTTCCATCCTTTCCCTATTTATTAATGAGATTAACATTTGACATTATTATTTTGATAATGGATCAATCAAAGGAATTGAGTTTTGCCACAAACTTAAATTTTCTAATTGAAGGATTGTCTAAATTCCGATCTAATATAAATTCAATTCTCTTTGGTGGGCATGCTGCGCCACTACCAGCCAGGAAGGCCAGAAACTCCCTTTAATTTGACTTGTTTAAGATAACAGAACTCATAGTTCGAAATATCTAAAATCTGTGCCATTTGGTAGCAAAGACATATAGGGATTATAAAATCAGCGTTTAAGGCAAAGATTCAATTCCTTTCAGGCTTAGTAAGTGGTAAAACATTCATAATAATGTCTAAATGTAGCTTATAAACCTTTTAGTAAACCGTTTTTTTGTTTAGTTTCCACAACTGCTTTGCCCATTGACAAGTTAGAATGGCCAAGTATTACAATTTGCGGACAGGGTAGAGGAATAGGAGCAATTCAGAAAATTTTGGGAATTCAATTTTTCAGGTTTCTTTAAACTTGATTTTAGAACATAATTTTTACCTGCTCTGAGGCGGAATTTAAAGAATTTAAGCCGCGTTGCTGAACCACCAAAAGTGGTTCCAATTATGTGCCGGCTCAAATCTAATTTCACGTGGAACCAACCATTCTTGAGTTGAGCGGCGTCACAAATTTATGATGCAGCTCAAATGCTTTAAATTCGGCTTCTGCATTTACTCAAATTAAATATACATTCTTTCCAGATACTTAGAAAAGGAGGGTATTCAGTTAGGTTCATTAAATAAAGAAGAAATGGAACTTCAAGAAAAGGAGTTTTATAAAAATGAATATCCAGGATTATCAAATGGACCAATAAGCTTGGTGAATGGAATGACAAGCACTGATCCTGATTCTCTATTAGAATCTGAGGTTTACAAAAAGTCCAAGGCCGGATGCTATGATAGTGCAGCATTGACCAAGTCCTTGTTTTTTAAGTGTATTAGTCTGGGGTATACGCTACCATCATTTCAGTATGCTGTAGATGATACTTGGCATGCTTGCTATTTTGCAAAGAAATTGAGAAACTTGGCAAATTTCAAGGATGCAAATACTGTTTGTGCCGAGCGATCTGGAAGACTTATGGATTTCTATGCAGAGTCGGAAACAAAACATATTTCAGCCATTTTAGGAAGCAACAATGTTAAATTGATTTTTAGATTAGGCAGCAATTAATTTCCTACATTTACAACATTGCCATAACATTGCTATTGCTTATTTAGTGAAGTTGATAAAGAACAATACCTATGTTTGGTTCCCTGCAAAGTACACCAATGGTTTGTGGTCAATGACTTCAATGGATAAGAGCACTGCCGTTCCAATTCTTGATTCTGTTGTAAAGGATGAAAATGTTCTTCCTGAAGATAAATGCATTGCCCTCAAAGTATTTTTTCATCCCAACAGTTCCTTTGGCTTCCAGGGTTTAGAGGTGGATTGTGGCCTTGCCATTTCATCCTTAGTGATTTGTGAACGATGGGTTGAGGAAACTGATTCTGGAAGTACCCTGAGCCCAAGTCAACCCCAATCAAGTAGCGTTTTTGAGACAACTTTAACAACATCTTCCTCCGGTCCTAAAGGAAGCGATTTAACTTCAACCCAATCAACCACCTCCTTTGGTACTTCAAGTACTGAAACAAGCCTACAAGAATCTTCATATGCGGCACCTGAAACAACTAGTACTTCTACAAATACTTCTCCAATATCTAACCAACAATTTTCTGCAATTGAATCCACTGAATCTTCTACAATCTGGACATTAGCATTTGAAGATTCAGCAATTCTAAATGTATCATTATCCACCTTGAATATGTCAACTACTACTTCTGGTTCAAGCACAGACAAATCTACAGACAACACAATTGAATATTTTACCTCACAACCTTCACCAACAGAATTTAATATCTCTTGGATAGACAATCTTATGAATTCAGGGACCCAATTTGATGAATTTGAGCTATGTTACTGAACTACCTTCTGCTGGTTAAATTTTGAACGACTGATTTAAAGTTAAATATTCAGGAAGAAATTTAATTGGTGCGGCATTAGCAAGTTTAAATTAATTAAATTCGGTCCCAGATAGAACAGAGTCCGATTCAACTCAACTGTTAACTCCATTTGAAGATATCTACGATGAACCAAACTATTGTGTAAATCAAGAAAGAAGTTATGTTGACATTTTACCAGACATAGATCTGTTCCTCAATCCTTCTAGGAAATCAGAACTTGAACTCCATATTGATAAAGAAAGAGGAAAATACAAGTCAGCATTTGATAATTTAAATTACAGACAATCCTACAGGAATATTCTTGAGCTTCTGTGGTACAGTGGAAACCCTTGTAATGATGTTCTAAATATAACCTCAGAATTTCAAGGAGAAAAATCTTTACTAAAAGAGTGCTACTGGAAAGGAAGAAAAATAGATTGTTCTGAGTTGTTTATAATGACCCCAACAGATAAGGGAATGTGCTGTGTACTGACCTTAAAGGAGGATCTTAATCCAAAAAGCAAATATGAATCCATCATCAATGACCTACAATCACAAGATAAGACCAACAAATTTAATACAGATGAAAGAAAATCAAAATTTGGTAAGAATCTGCTTACTTTTTAGGTGTTAGGTATTTTCCCAAAGGCAATTTCAATAGGACCACTTCCCAAGTAGCAATTTTCCAATTTTAACTTCCCAAATTTGCAATTTCTCAGGTGGGAACTTCCCAATCACTGTGGCTAAAATATGATGGGGACCAAGTACTCCGGCTAGGGTCGAAGTAGGTTGTTGCTGCTTGGGAAATTGTACATTTGAGAAGTTACCTCTTGGGGAAATGTCTTTGGGAAAATGCATAACATCTGTGCACTGTGACTAGGACAGACTTGGGAAGTTACTGCTTGAGAAATTGCACATTTGGGAAGGGCCTACCATTGAAAATATCCGTGGTAAATGGCCTTTTGGGAAAATGCCTTGGGAAAATACATAACATCATTTTTTATATTAATGTGGTCATTGGTAACTTTAAGCATTTTTTACTTTTAGAAATGAAAGCACCTGAGGCTGGAGCAGCAAAAGGTTTAACTTTAATTCTTGATTCTCACACAGACTTGCAATCAGAGAAGTCGATAGGAGATGATTTTATTGGGTTTCTAGTTGGAGTATCTAAAGGTGGAGATTATTCCCTTCTTGATGAGAGTAGTATTCTCTTGTCCCCTGGACACCAGCATTATCTAGCCCTCACTGCAACCAACATTCAGTCATCAAATCTTCAGAGCATAGATCCAACCATACGTAACTGTTTATACCCAGGGACTGAATTTAATGATAAGAGCAGCAACGCTGAACTACTGATTCAAAGATGAACCACCGATTCAAAATTTTAAATTAAAGAAGGATTTGAATTGATGGTTGAAATTTAAGCCGACGGTAGGCAGTTTTAATTCATTAAATTCGGTTCCAGATGAGGTTCAGCTAAATCTGAAGACTAATTATACGAGTTCAAATTGCATTTTTGAATGCAAGCTGAATTGGGCATGGGAGAGATTGAACTGCACTCCATGGTACTATCCACCAATTGAAGATAGTGCAAAATTCTGTGACCCATGGGATACCTTGATGTTTATGACTGAACTGGATCAGGTTCCCAATAGTAGATGTTCACATTGTCTCCCAGATTGTGAATACACAAGCTACAAAGTATCTCTCTCCTCAGCACCATTCAGGTATTCAGATATCTATACAAATGTGTTGGTTTTTACAGGTTAAAAAATGATATGCTAAGCTTACATAATATCTTTTTTTTAGAGGTTGTTCTGTTCTGAACGAGGAGACTAGCATGTTCTGCAGATATTCTACATCCTTGACCCCATCATTATGGGCCGATAAAATAATCCCATTGTATCAGTTTGTGGCACCACTTCCAGATTACATAAAAAAGGTTGGAATTTTAAGATCTAAAACTGTTTGATTGTATTAGAGAAGTGGGATTAGATTTAATAAATTGCAACTGGTCGTTTAGCTACCTACTGCTGGTTCACATCTTGAATCACCGATACAAAGGATTCATGATTCATGAGAATTTGAAGGGTGATTAAAGATTTGAAACAGCTACAGGTAGTTCAGCGACCTCTCCAACTCATTAAATTTGATCCCTGAGTTGGAAAAAGATATAAAGATGTAGGTTCTTCCTGAAGATAACAAACAGGCTAAATTTCTAACGCCTGGTTGGTACCAAGGACCGAATTTAATAAATTTGAGGGTTCGCATAGCTGCCGCCTGTCAGCTCAAATTTAAATCACCGATTTAAATTCTTTATGACTCTTTAACTTTGAATGGGCGGTTCAAATTTGAACCGGCAGTAAGTAGTTGAGCGATGCAGCTCAAATTCATTAATGTAATGTTTAGCTGAGCGAGGCCCACAATAAGGTTTTGAGGAAAACTATTTACGGACTTGAATACAATGCCTATGAGAAAGATATTGCAATACTAAATATTTACTGGGAATCCGACCATGCACTGCAGGTTACCTATATTTTGGTAATAAGTAAAAGTACTATCAGATTAATTTTCAATTGTTTTAAATCTTAAAACAAAAATTAATAAACAGTTTTATCTAGTTTAAAAGATCTCTACGCATGACCTTCTTGGATTTTTTATCACAAGTTGGAGGTATTCTTGGCCTGTTCATTGGTTTCAGGTTAATTTGTTTCTTATTGATCTTCATATTAATATTTATATTCAAATTTAACTTCATATTGATATTTTTATTGATATCCATGGAGATCCTATAATTGATCTTTATTTTGGTCTTTATATTGATCTTCATATTGATTTTCAAATTGATCTTTATAATGATCTTCATAAATTGATCTTTAAATTATTTCTTGTTTAGTGTAATAAGCGTGGTTGAAATTGTTTATTGGTTTACTTTTAAACTCTTCAGGAATATTAGGCCAGCATATCTCTCAACATTCGATTCTAACTTTGATATTTAAATCTAACCATATTTTTACAGATAAAACGAAAAAGCGTTTTTTTCTGTTCCTGAAACCAAAATAATTGAACAAAAATTATCCAAAACTGGCAAAATCATTGAATAGGAAAAATATTAAATCATTCCTAGTTAAATTCTGATTCTTAATGTGCCCTCCCCTCGAGAGCCAGTAATACTGCTGTACTTTAAACTACCCTACTGCTGTACTTTAAACTACCCTACTACTGTACTTTAAACTACCATACTGCTGTACTTTAAACTACCATACTGCTGTACTTTAAACTACCATACTGCTGTACTTTAAACTACCATAATGCTGTACTTTAAACTACCCTACTGCTGTACTTTAAACTACTCTACTACTGTACTTTAAACCACCTTACTGTTGTACTTTAAACAACCCTACCACTGTACTTTAAACCACCTTAGTTTTGAACTTTAAACTACCCTACCGCTGTACTTTAAACTACCCTACCGCTGTACTTTAAACTACCCTACCGCTGTACTTTAAACTAACCTACCGCTGTATTTTAAACTACCCTACTGCTGTTCTTTAAACTATCATACTGCTGTATTTTTAACTACCCTACTGTTGTACTTTAAACTACCCTACTGCTGTACTTTAAACTACCCTACCGCTGTACTTTAAACTACCCTACCGCTGTATTTTAAACTACCCTCCTGCTGTACTTTAGACTATCCTACTGCTGTACTTTAAACTACCTTACTGTTGTACTTTAAACTACCCTACCGCTGTACTTTAAACTACCTTACTGCCAGATACAGGTTTCTAGTTAAGGTTTTATGAAACAAAATGTAAAATTCCAAAGGTTTTATGAAACAAAATGTAAAATTCCAAAGGNCTCTCAAAATATATGTTTACGATTTCGATGTAAAAATTGTCTTATTTTCCATGTAAAATATTTTGTACAATTTAAATAATCTCGATACGGAGTAAATAAATATCTAGATCTTAAAAAAAAAATAGAATAAAACAGGAAGTGTCACATTTTGTTTTTGGTTTGTAGGTTGGCACCCTTGAATCAGCCAATATTCAAGCCATTGTAGCCAACGTAGTTTTTCACTGATTAAATAATTTTTGGGTTTTCGCGGTTGTAGAAAAAAGTTTTTAATTTTTTGTAAGAGTAAGACTTTCTAATCTTAATGGTTTATTTTTGCTTATTTTAACTTTTTTGGGAGGAAACATGCTCAACAAAGGAATTGAGTCCTTGCCACAAACTCTGAAGTTCTAATCCCTGTATCTTTGCCACAATCTCTGATGTTCTAATCCCTGTATCTTTGCCACAATCTCTGATGTTCTAATCCCTATATCTTTGCCACAAACTCTGATGTTCTAATCCCTATATCTTTGCCACAAACTCTGATGTTCTAATCTCTATATCTTTGAAGCTGCAATGTCGTGGACCTTAAATATTTCAAACTAAAACTTCTTTTAGATCAACTAATCTAGTTTTGAAACAGGTTTACACAATCAGGTTGCTAAGATATTTGGATTAGAAAATTTGAGTTTGGGGCAAAGACTCAATTACTTTCGTAATCTTTTTGAATTTTAAACATCGTCAAAAAGAAGTTGCTTCTAAGGTTTCCTTAACCTAGGAAAAATTACTATCTTCTCTGTTAGATTCTTGATTAAATATTATTTTCAGAATGCAGAGACCAAATTTAATTATTTATTATTAAGTTTATTAATTCGAACACGAGAGAATTACTTAACTTTATTTTAAACTATTTAATTTTACGCTCAAAATACCTTTTAATTGATATTTTTCTTCAATTGAATATGATTGTAAAGATATTATTAAGTAGACAATTTTTATTTTTCATAAAGAATTAGTTATGAAATCATAATTTTTTTTTTTGAAGCCTAGATTGAATCTTTAGAGGGAATTTATAGTGTTATTATAAATCAATGCTTATTATTCTGAAAACTGATTATTTTAATCATGAGTTCTATACAAAAGTGGCTTGTATTTTCTACGGCAGGAAAATACTTATAGAAATCATCAAAATGAAACACTATATATAAACAAAGAAAATCGTCGATACTTCCATGTTAATAATAAAATAAGGTTTAAGGGTACCGTTGTGAATCAGGCATTATACCATCTTTACTTTCCTTTAAGCATGACAATGAGTGCTGTAAACGGTTTAATAAATATTGAATAATTAAAGCTAAACATACAATGCCATAAACAAGCATATCTCAAAACTTTTTAAAAGAAAAAAGAAAAAAGTATTTAAATCCTCGCACACAACTAAACAATTTTTGTTTTTTTTTCTGGAAGGGGATAATTAATTTGGCGTACCGTCCTGTTTTACCTTAAATAGTCTGTATTATACAACTTACAAAAAAAAGTCAACCTTGAAATGAACAGGAGTTTACCAAGTGCTTCGTCTTGGGTGTAAATTGAAAATTAACGCATTTAAACCCTATCTCTGCTGGGGTACTTGAAAACCAGGATATAATGGGGGGGGGGTTCAATTTGACCCCCCCCTCTAAATCCCATGTTTGATGTCCAAATATGACAAATGATACATTATTGGAAAGATCTTGTGCTCTAATTTTAGAATCTGCAAAAAAATGCAGGAATAGGGTTAAGGTAGCAAGGTTGTACCAGTAGTTTCATTTGTTTTACGAGGAGTTTTGCGCAGTCGGCCTGTATAGAACTGACTCTCTTGTAATTCTTGCCGAGTGCGCGAATCTCCTCTGGGCTTCTGCTTCAGGGTTATTGTGAACGAGTTTGAAAAGACAACGTCTCCTGTCCAATCTGTTATTTTAATTAATCTATGAGATCATCTAGATAAGTGTACAAAAATTTCGTCTACAAGTCGCGGTTAATTGACCCCAGTTTTCCTTTCTTATACTCTTCTATCTATAGTTTATATTCTTAGATAATTTAGTAAAATAAGACCAATTGTTACAACGAATTTGTGTAAGATCTCATCTTATCCTTGTTAGATTTGATATACACTCTCCTAATCTTGATATATTTAGAAGTTATAATTAAATATCTGGTTTAGTATTTACTACGGAAATGTTGAGAAAACCAAATATTTTTCAAGTTTTATTTTTTAATCTACACAGTGTCCAATAACGAATATCTACCGACGAGTGTTTATTTAAACTGAAAATAAAAGACAAAGTTTATAAGTTAGAAAACATTATCGAATCGTAACTTTTACATTAGGGTGGAGTGTCTGTTTGGGAGGGGCAAATTTAGGGCGCTTCTCGAGCAATTCTTTACTTTCAGAATTACCCACAAAACTATAAAGAAGATATTCAATCTTTTTTGTGTCAAACCATTCAAAATATTTCTTCAATGTTATTGTAAGCCAACTAAGGGTTTAGCCATATGAACATAAGCTGATTTAAGTTCATGGCTCCCAGTGCTAGGAAATGATGCATAATAAATGCAATCTATAAAGCCAAACAAGTCCTGAGTTAGTCCAAGGGTACTGAACTCTGAGTATGTGTGCAACCCTAAATATTAAACATTGTAGAACCAATATTGCCAAGCTGGTCGCTGGGTGCAGTGAGCCCGGAGTACGGGGAGCCTGATAACCAACTCCGGAGAGTATCGAACCCTTTCATATCTAGAGAAATAGGGGAGTTAGGGAATAATATGATGCTGGAGAAATGAGAAACGGCATTATCTGCCGGCGGAGAAAGCAAATTGTCTGCCATCTTATGCCCGATACAAAGTCAGTCAGCAAAAAGTATCTAAATAGAAGAGTTGAATAAAAATATATTCGCCCTCCAGGCGAATGTCGTGTGTAATTAGATCAACTTTAGTTGGTCCAACACTAATCGTATGTATAATTATAATGTAAATATATTGTGTGTGTGCAACCATGCTTAATACTAATATTAATTAAATATAATTAATTAATTAATTACCCTTAATTGCTTTGTCTTATCAAAATCTAAGAAGGAATGAGAAAGCCATGTTTATTCATTTGAAAATTAATCATTTGAAATTTAAGTTTCTCTACAAAAGTTACACATTTCTGCTACAGAAACAAGAAATTTTTACAATTTTTAAGTAAGAAAAATAACAATATCTTCCAAGTTCTTAATCAGACCTAGGTTTAAAAAGTACAAGGACGTAAAGGACACGCCTTTTTTCAAGTTATTGGGCGAATTAGTTATTATATATATAGCTAGCAAGGCAAAAACAAACAAAGACCTTTATAAAAAGTTGTATTGGATCTAAAATAATTTTGTAAAATTGGCCAATATGTGAAAACCTAGGAAACTTCAGGATAATAGTGTTATGGGAAAAGGTAATATTTTAGATTGAAAAAAAGTTTAAATGTTATTTAATCTTACAATTTTTTTATTATATTCAGAATCAGAGCTGTCCGGGCAAAAACATGTCAAAAAGGTATTTGTCTTTTATTTTGCTGAAAGAGACTGACATCGTAATTTCAAGTGACCCTCCATTTAAAGAGGGATACGCGGGATTCACAACGGTACGCGCGCTTGAAACTTTCATCTATTAAAAATGTTTAAGTTAGCAATGTTTTTCTGAGTTTCAAAAGTGTTTAAATCTGATAACTTCTGCATTGTTTCTGAAGCAAGAAATGCACAAGTTACGTTTGCATGGAAACCAAAAAACCGTCATAATTCTTTGATTTGTAAAGAGAAACACGAAAGAAAACTCTCAATATGTGACTATTTGAACGATAACATGTTGATTGTTGGCCGAGCGGGGGAAGGCAGGCAGCCATGAGCCACCACTATTTCCCCTTCCGTGCCCACTGCGATTTAATGGTCTCATGCTCTCAAGCAAAAATCGTTGAGAGTTTTGCTAATAACTTCTAAAAAACCACATCTAACAACAAGTGCTTTACAGTGCTAAAATGTGCATGTAAAGGGCTACAGAAAAGCATAAGTGAGTTAGAGCGGTAAAATTTAAGCTTAGGGCGTTACGACACTTCAAAGTCAGCCCTGTCTTAAAAATTGATGAGACTGTTTATAAGGAGGCTGAATCTATGTGTGCCACATATTAGCTTTTGACTGAGTATTGCATCTTGAAATATCACAAAGTCTTATGATTATTCAATTACTGACTCATTATACTAAATTCATCTTAAAATCACTCATTAACCAACTTTGTGATATTTCAAGATGCAATGCTCAGTCAAATTTGTCAAAAATTTAATTGTAAAACAGTTTAAGAATTCAAAACACAAAATATTAATCTTAAGTAGAAATTAAAAAATGGTTTGAGTTGTGGTTTTTGCGTGACGCGGCGGGATTTTTTAAAATCACACTTTAAAGGCTCTTAATATACCATTTAAAAAAGTAGTTTTGCCCGAAAGAGTCAAATGTGGTGGTACGGAAGGGGAAATAGTGCATGGTGGCTCATGGCTGCCGGAAGAGAAAAAAGCTAATATATGGCACGGAAGGGGAAATAGTGGTGGCTCATGGCCGCCTGCCTTCCCCCGCTCATTGGCCTAATAAAAATTTAACATTTTTGTTATTTCTCAGATTTTTGTGAATACTTTAAACGTGAAAGTATCTGGATGTGCAGCTGCAGGTATATTTGTAAATAAAATGAGCACAAGTTTACACAATATTTTTTATGCAAGGGGTGTCCCACGAAACATGACAGTGGATAAATAGTTTTTAATGTCGTCTTCCATACACTGTATTAGATATTAAAGGCTTTTTGCAGTTTATTTCGTTAAACAAATCTTTTGCTCAAATATATGTTACTTGGAAATCAATTTTACTATAAAATGGCTCCCTTATAATATCTTTTATTATTGTCTTTGGTATTAAACAACTTAACAAATTATGGAAGAAGACATTTAAAACTATTAATCAACTGTCATATTTCGTGGGATACTCTGTATATAAAATATTCTAAAGAAAAGAATTCTAAAATGTCCTAAAGTTTAAGATAAATTTTAAAATTTTATGACGTACGTATTTGTTTATAATCTAGAGAGATTTATTTTTTTTCTTGGTTAATCATGTTCAACTGCACAAGGTTATCTTTATAATTTTTTTATTTCGTTTGCCTTAGAGAGGTTTATGTTTTCAAAAGTTTAAAACTCATTATTAGATAAGAAAAATAAATTAGAAAAGAGTTTTTAATTTTATAAATACTGTTTTTGTAAATCATTAAAGATAGTTCATTAAATATATACAACGGTTGCAAAAGTTAATTAAGGATAAGTAAAAACAGTTTATAAAAATTGTAGAACTTGAACTTACCATGTACGAGAAACTCCAATTTAACTTCAAGACGTTAAGATACATAGAATCAAATATTTTTTCTTCAATGAATGGTTTAAACTTGAAAAATTATAAACCACTTTGTAGATAATTTTCGTAAGAACTTTTTTAGAAACTTTAGAACGAACCTTTTAAAGAGACTGTACACGTAGTTTTAAGTGAAATTCCGTTTAAGAGAAAAATGCCCGATTCACAACCGTACCTTTGTCTCAAGCAATACGGTGACTGTTAAAATAAAATTGCGGAGTTGTATTTTTTTGCTAAAATTGGAAATGTTTGTTAAAATCGTTTCCATTTTTCGTTTTGATTTAATCTCCTTGGTCAGAGTAAAACTCTTGCACAATCTAATAAACTAGTTTCCTCTTAACAATTTAAACTTTGAAAGTCGACATTTTGAAAAATCATTCTCAAATTTTCGCAGATTTATCTATTTCATAGTCGCATTTTCAAAAAAATGTGAACATTTTTTCCAGTTGAGGTTTTTTTAATTTAGACGGTCAATAAACCTTTCCTGCGGTCATGTGGGTTGCCATAAAAAATAATTGGGCCAGATTTTTTCATCCGTTATGACCTTTATTGAATTCAAACAAACAGGCAGACAAGCAAAGTATATAATACATTGGTTTTTGTTCTCTTCTATAAATACGTACATGCTCTGTTTCAAATGTTGTGCTCCATGCTAAAATTTACAATTATATCTATAATTCAAGACATAAATATATTTTTCTATTGAATTCTTGAATGATAGAATCGTCGTTTCTAGGGGTGCTACTTCTACCCCAAGACATGACGGAGAAAGGCACATGCTACTTCATTCATTTTGAATCAGATTGGAAGGGTTTCGCAGATTTTCTCTTTCGAGTTGGAACATTTCTAATTCCACCCGCATACATTTAGACAACAAAAAACCAAACAGTAACTGTTTTTTTGCACCCCCTCCCTGGCGCTGTCAACATAAGCATATATTATAGCTTATACTTGAATATACTATTTTGAATTATACCAAATATTTTATTTTTTTTTTAATCTCATACTTTGGTAACCAGAAAAACATGGAATGATTGTCGTCTTCTTAAATTTGTTGATGTCGCTACGAATTTACGAATAGTTTGTGGCTGATGTATTTTAAGAAAGTTAATCTTTAATATTTCAAAAAAATACCTTTGTAACCTAATAACTTCTTTGTTTTGCATAATTTATAGAAAGGCGGATTACGACCAGTCCACTGTTTGCTGGTTACCAGTCAAAAACAACTCGACTGTTGTTGAAAACAAACACAAAACGGTGCGATAAACGAGGTTTTTAACCGAATAATTTCTCATTTTATTCTATTTTAGATGAACACGGCAGATCTCTATACCACTTTGAACCGTAATAAGATATATATCTTCATAAATTGTGATCTCTACTGTGCAAACTTTCTTGAAAAAAAAAAAACATTTCTTTTATCACAACTTTGCTCATTATATTGCATTTCGGACGAAATTGGAAAATGTATTCATATTACAAAAAAAATAATTTCAAGCTGCCAAGTCTAAAACATAGATGTGTCCATAACTTCATAATTGTTGCGAAGCACGAAACATTTATAGGAAAAAGATCAAAATTTAAAGGCGTAGCTATACATAACAGATCATATCATGTATAAAGTAACTGAATTAAAACTAGAAGTATTATATTTATTAATAATTCAAAAATATCAGTTAAAGATTTATCAAGTTACTAACCAATATTAAATATAATATATATATATATCTATATATCAATAAAAATATTCTTTAAAAATCTAATAAATGTTAATTTGTTTAAAAAAAGCACAAAAGTTAAATCTCATAATACGAGTAGGATTTGTTAGAATAATACAAACAGATGTAATTAAGAGATATATACAGATAAAAAAGTTACAATAATAAAAATCCTAATTAAAATTGATAAAGTTATTTCAAAGTCATATAATATGTAATGCTGTAAAGAAGAATGAAGAATTAAGAACATGGTTACCCTCTACAGATGACTCAAAAATACATGTTAATTTTAGTTTTTAAATGAATTAAATTAAGTGAACATACAGATCTTTTACATGCCCTGCCTCAATTAAGATGATTATTAATACGGATTTTTAATAACTCTATCTTGGTCATGAGATTACACCGGTAAAAGCTAAAGCACCATATTTTGACTTAAATTTAACTTTATTTGTATTAAAGTTGATGAAAGCCTTTTTTATATTTACAAATGTTTGAAAGCATTTAGAAGTTAAAACAAATTTTTCGGAGATTCCATGAAAAAATAAAATTGGTTTTCTAAATTCGTGTTTTCCAGGTTTGATGAAAACCCTGAGTAAAATTACGTAAATCGAAATTTTTAATTTATGTAAAATACTAAAATATGAGATTAAAGGGCAAAACATATTATTTTGTGAAGTATTAATAATCTAAATTGAATAATAGTTGGTGATTTTTCCTTTCCAGCTTTAAACAATATATATCCGAATAAACTGAGTAAAATTTATGGGAACTTTTAAAATTATAAGTCTAACTCAGTTTCTTATTTTAAGAAATTGACATATCCATTGATCAAAACTTTGGATTTGACCAATCAGACATCTTCTAATATTTCCAAAAAGGGAGAATTGAGGTAAACTCACTCCGTTGATTTGAAAGTCTCCAGCTCTGGTTAAGTTTTAGTAGATTTGTTTCAAAGTTCCTTCAGATGAAGACGACTTTTATAACATTCAAACCATGTCCGCGGGTCTGGAGTTAGAAAGTGGGGTTTGCCCTGAAAGCATGAGTTTATTGACAAAATTAACAATGGCGCGGGCTGGCTGCTCCGGATCAAGTTCAGCAAATACGTGGCATTGGTTGCATGGCGAAGACGACTGTTTTCGCGCCACAAAAGCAAAAAGCCGCATGGAGCGGTCCGTGCCGTCCGTGTTCTTTAAAGTCCAGCGCCGGTCCTCTGGATCCACTCCACAGTGGGAGATCTGAGCAACAGAATAGTGCTTCCGAAAAAAAAGTTTTCTGCTTTGATCTGTTAGAGTAATACCTTGTCCTGAAATTGGAAATTTATTAAAAAAAATTCATAATTTTCACATTTAAATTTAAAAAGTTAATCAAAGTTTTACAAATTTCCTTACCTGACACTTTAAAGTGGACAGTAGTTGGAGAAGGAAGTGGTCGCGTAAGGATAAGTTGAGAAACTGTCTTCCGAACCGCCTAGATTAAAGCGCTATTAATTTAATTAAAATGGTCCGCCAAATTATAGACAACGAAGAACTGAGTTTTGACACAAAATTAAATTTTCTAATCCTTTTATCTTTGTAACCTAATGGCGGAAAACTTCCCCAAAAAACATTTTTACCGACTTTTTGTGCCAATGGCGAAGTTGTCAGGTAAATTAATCTGGACTTTATATGTTCGTCATTGGTTTGTCGGAGACTAAATGTTTGCAGGGTTAATAATTCAAACTTAGATCGTTTGATCCGACAGAAATCAAATTTTGAAATTTCAAAGGTCTACGAACTTAAAGGTTAAAAAGCTTAACGGATTAAAAAATCAGAGTTTGTGGCACGAAATCAGCTCCTTAAAGTTATATATGAAATAGTAAAGTGTACAGCACATTACGGGGGTAGTAGGAGTAGGAGTAAGAGTAGAAGTAAAATTAGGAGTAGGAGAAGGAGTAGGAGTAGGAGTAGGAGTAGGAGTAGGAGCAGGAGTAGGAGTAGGAGTAGAAGTAGGAGGGTAATATAATTGCAGATCTAGTTCTTGAATTGAATAGACATTCTTGGAGTTTGGTGCATTATGCATTTGAAGTTTTATTTAACTAAAAGAATCAAACTTTAGATTAAAGAAAAGAAACAAAAAAAACAAAAACAATACGAAATATTCAAATATTCAAATATTCAAAAACAAAACCATGGCATATACCTAAAGCTCTGAATATATAAATCTAGAAAAACAAATAATGAAGTAGAAAAATATATTTCAATCCAACAATTTCAATAATCCTACACCATGAAATAGAATTTAAATTCGGTATAAAAAGAAACGTATATCTAATCAGTGGAAAAAGAAAAAGTTTTAGTCTTATTTTTTAGAAAACTTTTTGAGACACGGCTTGAAGTTCCACTTTGACATTTGATGGAAACCCTAACTTTTTAATATCCAAAATATGGTCTACCTTTTTTAACGTGAAAGTTTTAGGTCAAAGAATCCAATATCATTATTGGAAAGGGTTTGATTCGTAAAACAATGTTTTGAAACTCACGATGTCATTTAATTGCTATCTAATAATAAAAACAATCTTTAATAGTTATGTTTACTTGAACACCCTGTATCTGTAGAGATGGACATCGTTTTTTTTTTTGAAGAATAAAATGTGTGAGAACAAACTAATTTTTCGTGAAAAAGGGTGTCGTTTAGAAAAAAAAAATAACGATGGACGAACGAAATGGAAGGTTCAGAGAAATGAAAAAAATTATCGTTTTTCAAAAACGAACGAAAAAAACCCAAAACAACTGATTAAAAATCGTTCGAAAAAACTTTTTAAAAAAAACGAATTTCACCAAAAAAAAACGATAGTTTTTACCAAACGAAGGATTTTTTGACTGTACAGCACTGTAATAACACACTATACTTTTTACTGAACAAACGATTGTTTTAAACAAAATATTAAAAAAATTATAGATTAATTTCTGAACGAACAATTTCAGTTCAGTTTAGTGAGAAAACAAACGAATGAATGTTAATTTTGATAATGAACGAAATCAATTTTTTTGAAAGATTAAAAACCCCAAACGAGATGGGTCGTTCACAAACGATAAACGAGCATAATGCAAAAAGTCGAACAAGCCCATCTCTGTGTACCTGTGGTCCTGTCAGCTGATCAGTATCCTGAGAAAACAGGTAGAAAACGTTGCACGCAGCTCCATACTGGAGCAGCTGGACAAGCTCAGGGTGATTAGTCTCTACTTGATTCCCTAGCAATAATACAATATAGTAATTTTACAATATTATACTTTATTTAATTCCCTAGTAATACAACGATATGTTTTATATATATATATATAAAACTATCAAACTACCTCCCAGGTCCTCTAGCGGAATACACATAAAACTACCTCTTTGGCCCCCTAGTGGAATACAAATATAAAAATACATCCTCGGTCCTCTAGTGGAATACAACTGTAAACCTACCTCCTAGGTCCTCTAGCGGAATGACCAGCCTGCAGGGCAAGGCTAGTGCTGTGATGGTGTGTTGATAAATGAGAGCTGATAAACTTGCAAACACTGGTTCATTGCTATATCCCTTCAATTTCACTCCCTTCTCTGTTGGTTCGATCAGGAAGTGACGAACAAGCTCATTAGATACCTCCTAAATGTAACTTCTTTTAAATTGCTATCAAGACATGTAGATTTTCAGTTTGATCAAAATATTCTGAAATATTTAGTTTATACCAAATAAAGACCAATTTAAAAATAAAGAGTGAAAATTCTTTTAAAAGTTTTTTCTTTCCAACCAGCAACTATCTTTTCTGAATTTTGTTTTGGCTTTAAGTTTTCAATATCAATAAATGATGGGGTTTGAATGATTTTGTAAAAAGTATGCCTTAAGTGATTCGTCGATACTAATCAAGAAAGTTTATATGTTAAACCTCTTATATCCTCTGCATTTTTTTGATTTAAAGTAAAATAACTTTTTCTTTTTTAACTTTATGTAATCACCTTGGTTGGAGGAATACTAGACACCTTTAACGCTAAACCAAAAGCACCAGGAAAACTGTTAGAATCACGTACCAGAAACGTTCCTAAATTATTCTATATTATTATCTTTATCATGATTAGAACCGTTACTATTGTTATTTGAATATCATTATCCTCTTCTCATTGTTTCGGCATTCATATCGTTATCATTGTTATCATTACTATTGTTATAATAATAATTATTATTATTATAAATATTATTACTATTATTATTTATTATTATTATCATTATTATTATTATTATTATTTTGAACCTGGTTGTTGGTCTTGAAGTAAAGAAATTGCTTCTTCACGAGTAATATTCTTCTAAAATATTGATTTTCTTAAATTTCTGTAACAATCAAAAGTTCAAAAGTGAATTTCTTCATAAATGAATTACTTCATAAATGAATTGCTTCAAAAATGATTAAATGAGTACATAAAATGATTAAATGAGTACATAAAATTATTAAATGAGTACATACTACGAATAAATAAGTAAGATTACCTTGTACCAGAACTTGTAATTATCCTTGACTATCTTGACATGAGAGGGAGGAATATCACTAGGCTCGGAGCTAACTGAACCTCGTCTAGCTTCAGAGCTAACCGATCCTCTCCGGGATCCAACTAAACCTTCTCCTTGATAAACCGAACCTGAACAAATAAAAGATAATCTATTAAATGATCTTCACACTCAGGATGTTGCTTTTCAGAGACCTACATATACTAGGGATGGTGATCTATTAAGAACTACCTACTGGAGAAGGAGCTCTTCAGAATGACCTACCTACTGGAGAAGGAGCTCTACTTGTTAGATCTATCCTACTAGGGATAGTGCTCTACAGAGTGACCTACCTACTGGAGAAGGAGCTCTACTTGTTAGATCTATCCTACTAGGGATAGTGCTCTACAAAGTGACCTACCTACTGGAGAAGGTGCTCTACTTGTTAGATCTATCCTACTTCCCCCACGGGAACCTGAAACAAGATTTATTGTAAAGTTTTTTAAAAACAGATTTTGAGAAATATACTTTTTTTGAATTCTTTAATTCGGTAAAACTGAATGTAAAGAAGAGAGGGAGGGGAGGAGAGATATATAGGGAGCCGGAGGAACGGGGGGAGGGGTTGAATGCAGTTTTTTGATTTGTTAAAATACATTGTAAATGTGGGAGCTTATTTGCAGCATTGAAATAGTAAGCATTTTAGAATAATTTATTTTAAATTCTAATTTTTGTATTTGGAGTCAGAGTTCAGTGCATATGGATATTAAATATACATATATGACGATCAGGGAGGGGG